TTCCTCTCGCAGACTGATGCGTCTGTGACTGCACATGACACTGTGAATAGAGACTCGGAATCAAATGGTGAATACTGAGGAGCAATGTGTGCAAGTAATAGGATAAAAAGCATGCAAAAATAATTAAGGACTGCTTAAAAATATGCAAGGCAAATTTACTCCAAAATGGATTTTCATCTTGTGATTTCTTTGTGGGTTGCAGTGTAATATCACTGAATCCAGAGCACTTTTTGTATATCTTTCCTTCTCTTGTCTTTCTTTTAGAAAACTTCTCATATCTGACCGTTTGTGTATTATGAGGTGAACTTTGCACATCAGACCATCTGACGTTGAAGCAATCCCAGCAGTCTGTTCAAACGTCAAGGTTTCGGGACTGAGAGCAGGCTGCACAGATGGACAGCAGTCAGAGTCGGATTTGATAATCCCCTCCTCCAGCCATAATCCAATCACAAGCTTTACAAGCGTTTACGTCCGATGACGAGGAGCTGATCATTTCCTGCCAATTCCTTATTTCCTGCGAAATGCAGCAGAGACTAACGCTGTCGTCTGCAGACACAGACAATCACAAGTATGAACTATTAAGTTATTGAAACAGCACAGCATGGCACTGCTTTTTTTTTTTTTAATGGCACGAATGCAAATAAACTGGGTCTTCTTGTATTATACATGTATCGCTCACTTTAGTACAACTGCTCAATCTAATGCAATTCAACACAACAGCTCTGCCCTAAATGATTCCTTTGTTATGTACATGATGCATTCAAAGTTAATGACATTGTTGTAAATTAGGTCAACTAAACGTTTGTTTCTGAAGTCAGGCGGGTAGTACAACTTTAGAAACTCCTCCCAATAAGATGCATTGAAATAAAACATTCAGAATGTATTAAACATTGTATTTTATCTCAAATTGAAGGTGAGTCTAATACCAAACTACTTTGTGAGTGGGTGTAGTATACTTTGTTAAGTTGTGATGAAGGCTGTCTAAATACAGACGCATTAGAAGTCATACTGACAGTTGTACAGATGATGAAATGCGCGTCCTCAGACAGAGGAGCTTGCTCAATGGCCCGTTATCTAACTGATAAAAGATGTGTTTGTTCATCTCTGACCGCAGAGTTTTATCAAATGAATGCAATGTTTAAAGGCTTTTTGATAAAAAAAATTTTTTTAAAAGTGTTGTTTGCTAAAATTAACAACATTGAGGTATTTTGCTCGCTGGAGATCAGTACATGGTTAGATAAGGTACACAATGCTGCATGTACATTCATGCCAAATGTGGGTCTGGAGATGCAACAATATATTTATATTTTTCAACCAGAAGAGGTCAGTGAACAGTCTTATGTCGCCTATGTTTTACATTCACTGTGACACAAAATAACTTGGGCATACATGTAGAAATGTGAGACTGATTTAATAAAAAGCAAAAAAAAAAATAATTAAAAAAAGATAGACCACATAGGCTACACACCACACACACATTGTAAGGATGCATTGTGTAAAGGCATGATATTTATGCTGATTTCTGACTGTGTTGCCGCTCCAGGATTCACAATGTGATGCTTGTCCTGCTTTGTGTAGGAGGAGGATGACAGACAAAGTCATGTATAGTCAGCTCATTCATCACCGTGTTGTTGCTGCTCTTAATAATTCATGTGAGCGCAACTTTGTGCGAAACCAAATCCACCTCCATGCACAACAAAAAAAAAAAAAAAAAAATACAAATTCCAACATATTAATTCCGGTTAGATATTTGGAAAGGATTATTTATCTTTAATTCAATATAATTGTCTTCGTTCGTCTTATTTTGCAATTATTTTTACTTATTTCAGTTGAGATAAACGTATTAAAGTTTTTTTTTTTGTTTTTTTTTAATGACTAAGTAGTTTTCTCACCTGCCCATTTGCCCAGTTTGGCGGGGGACACGAGTCGTCCGTTCCCCAGCACCCACACCCTGATCCCGGACAGCAGCCGGCACACGGAGCACACAGAGAGCCAGGCCGCGGTCAGAGCACCGAGACACAGCAGAGGCGTCTCCACCGCCCGGAACAATGCTTCTCCTCCGGACGCCATGTGTACACCTGCTCCACGCACACAAACACCTCAGTCTGTCTGTGTAACACCTGATAACATTAACGCCCGGACTGAAACTCTTATGTTTTAAAGTAGCAAGGCGGAGCGCAAGGTGTAGATGCATGCAGTCAAAATTCTAAATATTACTTCCGTGTCGGACACTTCCGCGTGTGGGCATGGCTGCGTGTCATTGGTCCATTCGTCTTCTTCAGTTCGTAGTACCTTTATAGCAGATTCAAGAAACTAGAGTATTACTACCATCTACTGTTGCAAACAGTCACCTCTGTCATCAGCCCCACATATCTAAAAAAAAAAGCGAGCTTCCTAAGAAATAGGCGAAAGCAAGTGTTGTAATTATTTGATATAAAAATGTAATATGAGTGAATATTAATTCTGTGTATATTAAATGGAAAAGAAAATCCGATTTTTTTAAAGGCTACCAGTTACAGACATTTAATTGTTTTCTATCTCATTTAAATGACTCCTCATCAGGGTTGCTGTATGGTGGAGAAAAGATACGGATTATACCAAAAGATTAGAATATTGATATTTTCTTGATATCTTTAATTTCATGGGGCCTAACATCCCAGTCACCCCTCCCTACTTGTCATCCTGACATCTCTGTAGTTTTATCGAGTCCTTAAGAGATTTGTCATGTTCTGTTTTGCTACTTCATCTTCATTAGTTGAAATATCTGCAATATTTATTTTTCACAAATGCCAACATGCATCCAAAACCAGAGCAACATGTGAGCCCAGAGTACTGGGATTTTACACTTTTGTCTTTTCTTTTAATGGCTGCACATGGATATTCCACAAGCACCCAACAATCTGTATTTGACTTTCAAATGTTATTTTGAAATGTTCTGTATTCTCTGTTAATTTGAAATGTATTTCACTGTTTTATTTGTTTCATGACTGCTCTTACCTTGTGTGTCTACTTAGATGTGTCTGACATTGAACATTAATGATTTATTTAATATATGAAATATTCATGCCAAAACCCAGAATGTGTCACCCATCGAGGAAATACTTTATTCTCTGCAGAAATAAATCAATGATAAACCGACGTGTCGGTGGATAACTTGATTATTTAAGACAGTAGATACAGACAGTTGTTCAACAGGTATCATCCGGATGTTTGAAACACCTTTACTTATTAAGTTTACATCTTATATTTCTGCACAGTACTCCTAAACTGAGTAACATTTAATACCTTATCTAAAAATGTGAATGACAAAAAGACTGAGACTAAACAGGACGAGTGGAGACCAGAGCTGACCTCTGAAACCTGTTTCAATCCGGTTTAATCAGTTTATTTTTAGTCATTTACATTTTTAGATAAAGCTTTGCACCCTGACACTTGATACCGCGACAACAGGTATCTACACCTGTTGTGATAGATACAATTTGACAAACACTTATGTTGCACTTCAGATTTGTTTGTGTTTGTTTAGGTTTACATGTTGAAATACTTAATTAGAAAAAACTGTAACAAGAAAATCTAACATGTAATTCCAGCCATTTATGATTGCATTAATCAAAAAAACAAATCTAAATGTGTATCGTGTGTATGTATAATGAAGGTGCAACGCAACCTTTTGCATCCTCGTAGAAGCGGGCCTGTAAGAGCCCTGTCTGATTTTACACCCCTAGTGTGTTTAAGTGAAAGTCATCTGTTCAATGCAAAGGGGCAAAAAAGGTACAAACTTTACTTTCTGTTTATTGTTTGTTAACAGGAATACTGTATAAATTGTCTAGGGCTCACCGGCTGTATATACCATTGTGAGAAATTCTTTCAGACAACAAACTCCCTCTCATATACATTATTTTCACAAAGATCACTTGAGCAAATAAAATGTCTTTACTTGAACATAGTGAGCGTCTTAAAAAAGAAAATTCCCACAAAACAGACTGATGGTTCGCTATAATAATGTATTTTATTGTAAAACATGCATTTGGTTCATTGGAATTTCTCAGTTACATATATTAGTTATGACATATGTTTAACCTTGAACTCATTTGTTTCACTATGCCTTTACATTCATGATGTATTTAGTTGAAGTGATATGATGCAGTTGAATATAACTTAGTACACACACACACACACACACACACACACACACACACACACACACACACACACACGCAGGGAGAGCGCAGTTCAGCCAAGTGGAGCAGACAGCAGCGGTCCATAATGTGAGAGTGAGCGTTACATAAGAGCAGCTAAAAATAGAAATGCAGCAATGGTAAACAGGAGTCTAAACTGTTGGCTGTGAGCTTTCAAAGGAACCTGAATCAAATTTAGATTAAAGGGCCATCTTAACGTAAAAAGGGACCAGCGGCTGATAATGACTGACGAAGCCTGCAGGCAGGTATAGAGTCTGCCTGATGTCCACGTGTGAGCGAGCGTGAGGGAGGAGGAGTGAGGGTTAAAACTGTTGCATTGATAAAAAATTGAAAAGAGGGAGAGACGGCTTACTTGTGATTTAAATAAGATTAAAAAACAGCTGGTCAAGGGAAATATTTAAATCACTCAACATGGTGGACTCTGACAGTAATTCAGCGCCACGTGCTGAGGGACAGCTCCTTTAGTGGTGGTGTTTATTTCTAAGAACAGACTTCACTGATACAAATGTTAAAATAAAGAGGTATACAATTTGAAACATTTACAGCCATGAAACTGAAAATAATGTCTAGTAAACAAACACACACACACACACACACACACACAAATGAACTATACATGGGTCATCACAAGACAATTCACACTTTATTCTGATCAACTCACACACACTAAACCCCCTCAATGCAACGTCTTCACAGGCAAAGGTAAACTCTGTTCTCGTTTTCAGAAATGGGCAGTGAGAGCACATACAGGTTTTTTTTTTACTTACACTCCACATGCAGTCTCAATAAAAACACCTTATAGAAGATTTCAAAATGCTTTTATTGAAACATTCCTGTAAAGACAGTTTAAAGTATCACAGTACCTTTTAAAACAAAAACACAATGAGAGCACTTAACAGTCATTTGTAAAGACATTTTTAATATATAGAAGAAATTCCTTTTTTGTATATGATCAAGTGTATCTTCTAAATCATCAAGACACTGAACATAAAACACACATGAGCTCCAAAATAAAATCCAGCCAAAATGTATTGACATTTTTTTTTGGATAGAACAAATCTTTCTGCAATAGAGGAAATAAAGGTGTAAAGCAAAATGCAACACACACACACACACACACACACTCCTTCTGAAAAATGGATGCACATTGACTTCACACATATAACTGCTGTGTGTCTTGTCTGTCTTCATTAGCTGTTGTTGATCTGAGGCAACAATCAGTTACTGAGGGGTGAATTGTGAGCTGAGCTTTATTGCATTTTTAAAGGAGATCCCACGAGGAGACGTCAATAAAGTAAATGTGTATTTTTTATTGTTTTTCTTTTCCACACAGTTAATTTCTCAGAGCTGTGGGCCATCAGAGGAAGTAGTTGTAGATCATTAGTTAAGTAGTGCCAAATGTTTAGATACTTCAGGATCATGGGGTTTATTCATTTATGAATTGTTTCTTATTTAATTTCTGCCTAACACAGATTTAGAAGTTGAACATAATGATGTGGCTTGTATGTGCTTGGTGACATTTGCACATTTATGTCTCCTTTTTTACCCCATCATTTTATTGAAATGATTATATACAATGCTTGTTCCAGACAGTTGTTTCTTTAGAATGTATTGCTATTTCTGTCTCTGTATGTGTGTGTGTGTGTGTGTGTGTGTGTGTGTGTGTGTGTAATAGCTCAACTCCTTCTGTAATAAAAAACATAGCCACAAATACGTGTCTGTAAAATCTGGATAGATGAAACGTCATACTGCATGCTAATGTAAATCTGATAAATGTATACACACGTATTGACGTATACACACACACACACACACACACACACACACACACACACACACACACACACACACACACACACACACGTATAGACGTATACACACACCGCTCCCTCTCTGTCCTGCTTCTAATGTTAAGTCTACAAGGACTCAACAGTGATGCTGATTTCAGATCAGAAAAAGTAAAGGAAGAAGTAAAAGAAATATAACAAGGAAAGAGTGTTTGCCTGTATTTCTACAGGGTGCAGCACATTAAAAGCTGTGTTTTTAAAAAAAGTGTTTTTATTTACACATAGAACAGAAAGCATGGTAACGGATAAAAAAAAAAACTGATTAATGTAAAATATAGGAATAGATAAGTTTAAAATAAGACATGTTTATTCACCTTTAAAATTAAAATGACACACATTCAGCTTCATTTTTGTAAATTTAGACATACATGAATCATTAATCTGAATTCCTTTGACTCTGATTCTCAACTGAAAGTAATTGTTGACAACGTCGTCACATGTCACTAAACAGAAAACAGAAAAAAGATTGCCTCAATCTCCTGCTTTTAGTGTAATTGATATTACTTCTTCAGTTAAAGGTTAGGGTGACACACAGGGTGTATACATAATGCAGACACATGGAAACAGTTAATCAACATGATTATAAATGATTGTTTACTTCCCTTCTACAGTTTTTCCACTCTCGCTCTGTGGACTCCACCCGCTGACCTCACTGTGGGTTGGTCACGACAGCAGGGAAGTGTGTGTGTGTTGCTGAAGAGAACCTGTGAGTAAAAAAAAAACATAAACACAGATAGTAAAGATAATGTGAATAATCAGAAGCAACCATTTGTATAGTACAGAGAGCTCGTTTGTTTTGCCTTTTGTGAAAATTAGAAAAACTGGTCTGTGATCTGTGAACGCAGCATGTGTGAGTGAACCAAATTAGAAGAAATACAGGCTACATTCAAAATATTAAGAAAATTCATATGATGTATGCTATAAATATAATGCAACAAGAAATGCAAAGGAAAGAGAGAAAAGATGCATTTAGGAGAGTGGACTCTTCACATTGCATGACGATCCTAAAGTGACGTATAGGTGCACTTTAGGTTTCCCTGGTGATTCTTGGACTTGTGTGGTTGACATCTGTGCAGAAAATGTAAAAGCCCCAAATCCTGTTTAAAAAATGTAGATTGAAATCAAAAATGATTTGTGCCTTTAATTAATCACTTAGATCTTAATTGCTACAAACAAATCCCCACAGCTGATTCATCCTCTCCTGCTCTCCTGACAGCTGCCCGTCTAACATTCAGTCTACGTCCCACATGTGCTGTCAGCAGAAATGTAAAAGAATCAAAACATCTTCTGGAGATCATGTCTCTGTTTTCAGCTCCACACTTCAACAACAAAACTGCAGCGTTTTGAAGAGCCTTAAATGAGTACACATCAGATGAAAGAAAGACATGTGTCGAGCACAAATATGACGGTGATGTAATTTGAATGCGGAATAATTCATCAATCAAACCTATTTTGCATATATTCATGCAGTGTTACAAAAAAAAAAACATCTTCCACATCTCTCCCTCTATCAAACATGTTTATTTTTAGCAACAATAGAAACCAACATTGTGCATAATTAGGCACATCACAAGCGTAACAGCTACTGCTGAATAAGTGTAACACTGCTGTTGTGAGGGTGGGTATTTGGTACTCTAGTGTGATCACAGGTGCAAGGCAACACTTCCTGGACTTGACATTTCCTTGTTGACCTGTGGCCTCTCACACTTCATGATCTCCCACAGCTGGAGAGGCCCCTACACCAATTTTTTAAACTCTTTCGAATCAACATGGGCACTCTATAATGTGTGTGTGTGTGTGTGTGTGTGTGTGTGTGTGTGTGTGTGTGTGTGTGTGTGTGTGTGTGTGTGTGTGTGTGTGTGTGCGTTTGCGTATTGAAAACAGGGGTGACACTTTGGGAGTCCAGACCACTGAGCTTGTGAACGACGTTCAAATCCTCCACAAAGTCTTTTTGGGGTAAGGGCTTCCCATATTCATGTCTGCACAGCAAGCCCAGACCGCAAAAAGATTCGTGACGGACAATTTTTTTCAGCTCCACAAATCCAAAATCCACTCCAGTCCACGGACTCCTCGAGGGTCTTCATCCTCAAAGTGTTTTCAGAGAAACACCTCGTGCATGAGGATTTTTTTGGTGTACAAAAAGACTCCCTTATTTTGATTAATAATTCGCCGAAGATACAACAAAACTGTTTGCCCACTGGATTGGCGTAGCTTTGCAGCAACATGCACCCTTGTTATTAAAAAGAGCGGCGATGAAGAGGGGCGGGGTCTCATTGCTGTTATAGACACACATAGCAGAGGGATGTGCGCGATTTCATTGGACAGGACGAATCATCATCTACCAATAGTGATGCAAAAGAAAAGAGCACCTAAGCAGGAGGCCAGAGCACCTGACAGTTTCATCTACTGTGGACACTAATGTGACATTAAGTCAAACAACAACCATCACCAGATGAAATGCACGAGACAACATCGTGTTTTTGTGCTGCTTCCTGCTTTTAAAAAAAAAAAAAATTTACTCTGAAAAAAAAATCGTGATTATTGCACTAGTTTCTACTTTCATTAATAGTAAAGTTTCCTTCATTTGCAAAGGGTTAATTTGGCTCCAGAGCTCCAGCTGCCGGAGCAAGGGCCCCACCCTCGCTCCGTTTTCATTGGGCCGTGCAGCCTTTCATTCGTGGACGCGTCTCCCAGCCGGTCACGATTCCCCCCATCTGTCTCGAGCGCACCGGAGCCAGACGCCACTGACGCAGCACGCGCCTTACTCACTTTTTAGCAGTCACGACTCGAGTCTCCTCGCGCACAAAAGGGAGGAAAAAAAAATCTGCAAACAAGATGAAATTGTAGAAAGGTAGAGCTGCAACTGAGGCGGGCGAGATGCTCGAGTGTTCAGCTTCTGCAGGACAAATCGCTGAAATCTAAGATGATGATTGATTTATCTTATATCCTAAAAGCATAAATCCTTTTCTATGTTCAATCTGGTGCATCAAACTTAACAGAAACCCCCCCACAGGGGTGTTGTGAGGATGGTCCGTGTAAAATAGACAACCCAGTGATAGAACAGTTCAGCACCACAACCGGAGGACAGCTCCCCTTCTCACTCTCAAATCAACTCCAAAATAATCCCAAACTCTCAGGCGTTTATTGCTTTTACCATCAATTTAATATAAAACATGAAATCAACTACAGGAGAACCGTCAAAAGACATATCCACCCTTTTCCTAATCATATCTGAGGGTGATTCCCGTGTAGCTGCTTTGACATCTCTCCGAGCAGGGTGCAAAAACAGCAGAAATCCACACAAAAAAACACTCGTGACATCGCGTTCCTCTCCGCCTAAATCAAACAATCAACACTCGCTAACTGCCTTTACGTTTTTGCATTGGTGTGAATAAAAAGCAACCATACCCAGAAAAGAAAGACCTTAGGAAGGAGGAATGGGAACAGGTGCAAGCAGCTAGAGAAAGGTTTTGCACAACTCACCATTGTAGCAGCGCGGAGCCTCCTTCAAAAAAAAAAAAAAAAAAAAAAAACACGAAAAGTGCCACAAAAAAAGGGACTCCAAAAAAAAAAAAAAAAGCCAGTTTCTCCATAAAATGCGCTCTGGCTTTTCGCCTCTTCATACTGCTCACTGTACTCTTGAATGGTGAGCCTTTTATAGGAGAGATGCCCCCTATCTATTTCTGGATCACGATCCAACCCCGTTTCTATTTTTAGCTCGCGCGTGATGAAAAAAGAAAAAGCTCGCAGAGGTTCCTTGGAGGAATTTCGAGCGTGCAGCGTTTGAGAACCGGCGCGAGCTCCCGCTTCTCTCCTCCTCCTCCTCCCCCCCCCCTCCCCTCCTCTTCCCTCCATCCTTTCCTGCACGATAAATGCGCGTGCACGGCAGCATCTCCCTAATAATGATGCTGTGGAAAACTGCACGCCCGGATTTCAACGGAGAGGTGGAAGTGTGCAGAATTTGTCTTTTTATTAATTTATGACTGATGGAAACACAGGCTATAACCTGCACGCGCGCACAAACACACAAAGCGCATGGGCACAGACGCTCACACCCTTCACATTATAACACTGGGACTAAAATGTTCACCAAACACCTGAAATTCTTTCTCCCTGGGACATGATATTGTTTTTAAGCTGCATGTTTTATATTTCACCCTCAAAATGAGGGAAGACAAAAAAAAACCACTTCCTTCTCCTGGGGGCTGCGTCAGTCACCATTGACGTCAGGTGGAGAATCTCCCACTTTGAAGGTGGAAGCAGGAGCCACCATTGCCTATCCTGTGGCTAAAAAAAAAAGAAAACAGGTCAGGTCCAATGAAAATGTACAATAGCAGGGGATAGGCTGGAGAGGTTGCAGCCCCCTCCTCCTCCAAACTGGAAAGGCCATTGTTTGCCCGCTGTGGTCAAACCTCTCTTTCATGTCACTGGGAACAAAGGAGGAGCCTAAAATACACACACATTTAATGGTGAGTAAACTATCATGAGACAAACCAACACCAAACGACAGAGTAAGGCGTTAATTCAACGCTAAGAATCATTAATCAGCTTCTTTTTTTTTTTTTGTTGACACCACAAGGCCCGTAGAGGTTTATTTAGAATGACTCCAGGTTGGGATGTTGGGTTCACCCCAAACGTGGCCCCTCAGGTTGATGATGCATGGTCACATAAAGGTGGAGGGATCATTACAGGCTGCTGCTGCTGCTGCTGCTGCCGCGGTCTCAGTCCTGCAGACTCCCCCTGCACAGGGCAGAATGCTGAAACGCGTAGTAACGGAGCGGCGCTTGGCCGACCGATGATGCTATTTTTAACTCCTATACTCAACATGCCTGGCGCTGCGGGTTTCTGTGCTCAGGGTAGCCTTACTACTGTACGACAGGCCAAACATAAACACAGGACAGCTTCCAGGAGGAGAGGAAGGCTAGATATGGCTCCCCAGATTTAGAAAATAAAATGTAATCCTCGTTAGATCAGGAGATGTGTTTTTTTTTTTTTTTTTATCAATGTATCTGTAGCTGTCTCATTCTTGAAAGCTTCATACTGTAGGATTTTCATGGCGTTATATTCACAGAAGATTCAGCCCTTGTACCATTCTTCGCTCCAATAAGATGTTAAACAAAGTATTTTTTAAGCAAATCATGCATAAGAACATTCTCTTTTTTTTGTATTTGATTCATATTTTCACATTGATCTTTTATACATGCATATGTCTTCAAAGAAAATGTAGCATGGTGCACAGAGTGTATGTGGATGTGCATGTATTTGTGTGTAATGCTTTATGAAGCGTTTTCATGAACTAATGATGCATAGGGACATTGTTCTAAGTATATGTATTTACTCTGATGATGATTTGTAATATTCAAATAAGATGCCAAATTGCTTGCATGGTGTGGAGAATGAGTATTGACATATGATGTGTGTTTTTTTGGGGTCTAATTGGGGGGGGGGCTGTAGCTCAGTTGGAAGAGTCCGTCATCTCTCCACAAGAAGTTTGGGGGTTCGATCCCCAGCTCCTGCAGCCACATGTCGGATGTGTCCTTGGGCAAGACACTTAACCCCAAATTTCTCCTGCTGCTTTGTCTGCGGCGTATAAATGTGTATGAATGGGATTTAGTTACTTCTGATGGTCTCACTACATAACAACCTCTACCATCAGTGAGTGAATGTGTAGGTGTGACCTGTGGTGTAAAATCACTTTGAGTAGTCAGAAGACTAGAAAAGCACAATACAAGCTCAAGTCCATTCACCACTGACCATATTTCAGTGTTTTATCCAGCTTTTCTACCTCCAACTGGTTCTTGAGAACATTATTTGTGTGTTTTTATTCATTCAGATTCTATATATTTTACATTAAGATTTAGAGGTTATCATAGCATGATATGATGTAGCTTACAAATATTGGATGTGGAGGATGGTGTACGGTGTATGAGCATTGATAGACTTGCACTCTGTATCAGTGGCGAGCTCTCAATTTGAACTATGTCAAAGTGCATGGTCCCTATCAAATATAATAGAAACTGACGTACATTTAAAAGGCCTTGTTATAATACATTACACAGACACATCACACATGCTCTGTGATGCTCAGGGTGTTGTGTATATTAAACACAGGAAAGTTAAGTTGAGGGTTATTTCCAGGGAAAGACTCATCATCACTTCGAGGTTAATCGTTCAGCAGCAAGTCATCCTGTTCTGTTTTCATCTCTATTACTCATACAAGTAATTCATCTTAAGCAGTGGACCCACAACATATAAACCAGGCCTTTTTTTCAAAGTAAAGGTTATAGCTTTTTCCATTTGACAGTGTTGTTGGTGAACATTTTTATAAAGATGAGATTTTATTTTATAGAAAAGCACTGTGTGACCTTTCACCTGTCCGAGAAAGGCCTGACTGCTGGTAATAACGTTCCCTTTGCACACACGTTAAACCTCAGACACAGCTGATGTTGACTTTGACAAGTGACACTCTGTCCAGATGTTAAAGGATTTCTCTGTCTTTTATTGTTATTTTTTCATTATTGTCATTTCCTGTTTTATTGTGTAACTTACCCTCGTCTCTGTCTTCCACATCCTGCTCCTCATGTTTCCCAAGTTACGGACAGAGACACAAAAGGGGGACAAAGTTAAATTAAGAAAACCCTATAAATTTGCATTAAAAGGGAACTATCGTTGAGACAAATCTGGGGTCCGTAGTTTTACTTGTCAAGGTAAATCACATTGACATCCTATAGAATCTGCTTCCATGTCTTTCATTTTAGATAAGTGATTGAACTAACTGAACTGAAGAGAGACAGGAAATGTTGGGAGAGAGAGTGGGGGACAACATGCAGCAAAATGCAGAGGGCAGATTCGAACCCCAACAGCCGCTGCGAAGAGGGCTATAGCCTCTGCACATGGGGCGCGTAACATAGCCGCTAGGCTATCAGCGCTCCAGGAACATTGTGATTTAAAGTGCATTAAGTGAACAAACAATAGTGAAATTGCGAGTCTTTTTGATTTATATACTGAGTTTTTTTTACTCAGCACTGAACAATTGAAATGTGCATTTGCTGACTTATTTTATTTCATTTTTACTTTTGACTAGTAGTACGATTTTTCATTTTTAACATAGACCTATCCTGTTCAAATTTGCAAAAAGGTAAAAGTCTACAATTTAAGCGTCATACAAAGATCATATCAGCACCATGGGACAAATTCTAGGCTAGTAAGAACCAATTGACAACGTGTGATGTAAATAGAATAGAAACTGAATGAAATGCACTGATGGGAGCGATCTGAATGACAATGGCACAACACTCAAAAAGTGTCCTCATTAAAAATCTGATGAAAAGACTGATTTGAGTTTTTGGAGTTGTGAAGAAGTGAACTCGACCACCATCGTAATCAAAGCGCTCTTCCAGGCATCGTCCTTTACAAATTCACATCTTCAGTAGAACTTCAGAGCCTTCAACATCAAGGGCCACGTGTGCTTTTCCAGCAGCTCTTTGTCAGCCAACACCTTTCTAAGACATTTCAAGTGTTTATTTTGGTACTCATCTGTAGGAACAGGCCGGTAACTTCAGCCGGCTGAGCAGCATGCTGAGGAAGAGTGTGCACGGTGGCTTTGCGTTAGGAGCTGTCCATGGTACCAAAGCGTCAGTGAAGAAAAGCCTGGAGAGAGTTTAGATCAGACTTCAAATGGAGGTTACAGAAGTAAAACTGTAATGCATTAGCAAAGCAACATATAGTTACCAACTACGCAACTGATTCTGAAAGAAAACTTTAGAGTAAAGGCAACAGAGACTTTTTGTTAAATGGCAGTTGTAAATGGTTGACCCCACAGGCCCACTACATTCCTATGAAACCGAGCTTGAGAGGAATGACATAAAAGTCCCTTGTGGATACAGCCTTGCAACACATAATGCATGCTCTACGTTTGCCAGTGAATTTATGTAACCTCCGGGCAAAACATAAAAAGGAAGTGGTGGAGGAAATACACTTTTGTGTGTTCTCTGTTACTGTATGAAAAAAAAAACCCTCAGTGGGTGCTGGATCCAAAAAACACAAATAAGTAAGAAAAGCAAAACAAGATCCACCCACATGTTTGAAGGATTTATGAAGTGACGTTTTCAAGCCAACATGCTCCTCCTCAGGCTTGAAGGTGTATTTTGTGAGCCGCCATCTTAAATACACAAACACATGACCTTACACACTACTTGGCGTGCGGATCTTGTTTTGCTTTCCTCCTTTACCGTGTAAGCTTCAACCCCAAAGATAAAGACCAATGTAAGAAGGTCTGACATTTTGTAGCTACTGTGTTTCTTCATCGATCAGCAATAACATCATGATCACTGACAACATTGATTATCTCTTTACAATGGTACGTCTCAGTGGGCGAGATATGTTCATTTTGTCCTTGAAGTTGACGGGTTGTAGGCAGGGAATATGGGCAATGGATGCGAGCCGCTGCGTCAAGGGCCACACTGTGATGGCTGAACAACTGGGTCAGAGCGTCTCAAAAACTGCTGCTCTAGTGGGGTGTCCCTGATCTGCATTGGTCAGCACCAACCAAAAGTGGTCCAATGAAGGAAAAACTAGTGAACCAGTTACTCTACAGGGTCATGGGCAGTCAAAGCTCAATGATACTGGTGGGGAGGGCGAAGGCTGGTTCTGTGTGGTCAGATCCAACAGGAGAGCTGCTGGAACTTCAACTGCTGAAAAGGTGAATGCACGTTCAAATCAAAAGGTGTCAGAACACCCAGTGCATCTCTGCTGAAAGGGCACACAAATGGGTACACAATGAGCATCAGAACTGGACCCTGGGAAAGGGAAGAAAG